TGTGCTATCTTCAGTTTAACGAATTTCATTATTATTTGATTTGCTCTTTCAATAGTATTCAGTTTATTTTGTGTTTCTTGGAAGGCTTGGTATGTTTACGAGAATCATTTGGCCAACCACAATGCTCCCAAAACTAAGGACTTAGGAAACATTCACAATGTGCACAATATCTTTTGCCTTTGAATCAGGAACACCATAAATAATTAAATGGTAATTTTTGCTTCAAGCCCCCCTGATATTTGGCTTATAATCTCGATACGACGAAGCAGCCTAGCCATTCATTTTTATCATTGAAGAATTCCTCTCTCTTTTGTAGTTTGGCCTGTTCTGCACTCATCGTTGAATGTTTTTCGTAAATTAATGTTTTTCCTTCTTCCAGGCATTCATTTTCCACCTAAAGTGTCCCTATGTTTCTAAGCTCTACAACGCAACTGACAATTTCCTGTTGTCCTTACAATCATGTCTTTTAGATTTCGCTATATTACGTTGTCGATTGTCCTGGGAACCATTTTGATATAATTTCCTGTGGTCTGGCTGTATTCTTTGTGAATATTTGCTGTTGGACCTCCCTTTAGCTACACATTAAACCTCGCATCATATAATCAGAAATGTTACCATGACACACGGTTTGACCACGTGGTCCCCTATAGCATTCCTTGGAAAAGTGTGTACATGTCCACGTGTTGCCCTGATGTACAAGGTCATTGCAGAACTGCTAGTAAAATTTGATTATATATTATTTTGTTCTAGTTTCTGGGTTTAAATCAAAATGATAGAAACAATCATTATATCATTAGATATCAAATTAAAAATATGCATAAGATGACATGTCATGTATCTCAGGATAGCATTGCAATCATAACAATTCAAACGAAGGCGATATTTGCGGAAGTAACAAGAATTGTTTTCAAACGGAAAAAGTAAAATTGTTTAAAGACACTAATCGATAATCGAAAAATCTCAATTCATTTATGTAATACTGATTCTCACGAGTAATTTCCAAAAAACTACAGTTTTCTTTGGTCCTATTGTTTTCATATGTAACCTCACTCACACTTAACCTTTATTGGTATTCTCAGTTTCCTTTTAATCTGGATTTAATTTACTCCGACCTCTGAATCGAGTCAAATGAAATTAAATAACAGCTCTTGAAAGATAGTGACCTTTAGCCCTGATGGCGTTTTAAGACACTAATTAAGCACGCCATGCAACGCAACAAGGAAGCAGGCCATGACTGCATTGGAACAATGCGATTTCGAAAGAAAGATTTTGGATGCAATTTGTCAAAGTCTAATTATTTAACACTTCGATAGAGGAAAGTGCTTCATTCCGATACAAAACAAATAGGAAGCGTTACAGAATCCAACTAACAAGGAGCTGAGAATAACCTGAGGTGCCTTCTAGACAGGGAAAAATCTAGATACATTAGAGAAGCGGTGTCGCAGAATACACATTGCATGGTAATTATCTGTTGATGCTGGCCTTACATCTCTAAAGGTCAATGGACAACACTGTCCAAATTCTATTTCTTTTGCAGTAGTTTTCCCATTAAATTATCATTTATTCTCAAAGGACGACTGACCCTAACCTTGGTTACTGACCTTAACCTTGGTTGCAAGTATTTTTCGTAACATGTCAATTAATTAATTCAATGTGTTTTCCATCGTGATATTTCATAGTCATTGGTGGAAATCATAGTTTTTCTGATTACATGTCATCGTTTGCCTGGTCATCATTATTTGTCCAGTAAAGCCTACATATAAATGACAACAATGAGTGCAAAATGTATATTTTTCACTAATAAAACTGAATAGTGCTAGATAAAGCTTACCAATCACAAGGTTATCAGCACCGATCTCACGTTTTGTGATTAGTCTTGCGCAAGAGTATGCGATCTTCACACTCCTTCACGGTGTACATGTATATATGTGCGTTGTTAACTTTGGTTTTAAATGTAAAGAGATAAGTAGCACATTTAGCTGTAACAGCTGAAGTTACAAGATCCATGGCATTACAAAAAGCAAATAAAACATTAATATGCTATTTTCCTCTTGAATATACTTCTTTGTTAAGGTCGTTGTCAATTACGCTTTGGTGACACCTACTACTTCCGGTACACTTGGTTGTTTTCATCTAATTTGGCAATACTCCAAAGATATATATACAATTAATTTGTTTAATAGTTTTACGACGATCCCTGAATTTCAAACGTAAATCTAAGGTTTATATTTCATTTTTTTATCGGCTACTTCATATTGTCTTTGGAGCGGTTTGACTTAATGTTTGTACAGGTACTTACTGTATAATGTGTTCGCACACTTCCTTAACTCCTACGGGAGCAAAATGCGTTATGTATAAGACAAACAAAACCTGCTTATTACGTGTAGTCATCTGACCTTAAACTAAGCGTTTGACACCTCGGAGTGTCACTAAATGTTAAGCCGATTTAATCAAGCATTAGTAATGTTATCCGGGTATTAAACCAACAACAATGTTGGCGCCATCACATTTAGGAAAATCGACATCGCAGCTCAGATTAGCGTTTGAGAAAGTCATATAGAGATATACGTCAGAGGATATACGAACTGGTCCACTTCCCCCAGGGAAACACCTTGCACACACCTTAGTATCCCGGAGCCATCAAAGTTATCTCCTTATTTTATCGCTTTAATCTGAAGTTTTTTGCAATCTGCATACGATCGGTTTGCCATTTTGCAAGAATGACGCACTTTCTCTTTCCATTTAGCGGATTAAGTTTCTGTAAATTCTTTTGAGTTTGTAATAAGATTTTGTCGAGAGCAAAAGTGAATTATCGATATGTAGGAATTGGTTTCCATCAGTAGATTGAAAACGTCCCTAAAATGTTGACATCGGCTAGCAGGTTTGTGCGACACAGTTCGAAAGGACTTTAATACTTTGTCTGATTATCAGCACAATGTCGTCATGCTTTGTTTTTGTGTTTTCGAAATGTGTATTCATGTTGAAATAAAAAAATCTCTTTTAAGAATAGTTTGGAAAGTGCGTCTTGAATTTTCTCTTGTGGATGAGTTCCCAAATTGTGCGGCTATCAGCACAACGACTTCATAAAGGCCTTGAGGGCTGCAAGCAAATAGCCCACAAAACGTCTTGTTTAACTTTAAACTTCAGTTTCCTTTCCACATTCCAGATCATTATTATTATTAATAATGTAGTCCAACAGGTTAAACATCAATATCATTTTATTTTTCGGATTACCTGATAGATAAATGGCACGATTCATTATATTCAAACTTACTAGATATCGACCTTAAATCGTCTGATATGCAAAAATTACGACAATTATTTAATTATGAAGCATCTTTATCTTCCCGGCCAGATTTTGACTTTTCTTTTCGATCACTGGATTTTCCTCGTCCGCCTCCTAGGCTACAAAATGTAGACCCTTAACATCACTGACAAGCCCTTAAAAGACGAAAAAGCTGTAAGATGCATTTTTATTTCATTGTTTGGCTCTGTTTTGAACTCTTAATTTGTATTAATATGTGGTTTTGTGTCTTTTTTGACAATTTAAAAAAATTGGTATGCATTAAGCTTTATTGGTGTGTATTGTATTCGTCAAGATTTCAAGTTACTGTACTTCTCATTCAAATTCTCTGATTAATGCATTACAGTCGTGACATACCGTTTGTAAGACCTAGTCTTCAAAAGTATCGTCGATGGACCAGTAAACGTTCCTTCCGAAACATCAGATATTATTCTCCATATGACTTGCAATTACCTTCGAGCAAATTATGTCTTGTTCTTTAAAAATCACTGTTGATGCCTTAGCTTTGTGTTTACGTACAATTTCTTTACCACTTACAATAAACGATGGATGTGTGACGACTCTTTGACTATTCCTTTAAATACGGAACAGGGAAGTGAAGAGCTATGTATTAAATGTTCTAGCAAATGTTTTTATCAGATTTTGTATGTGGTTCGCTGACTACATTTGTCGTGTGGTGAACTGAACAAAGCATTGTAAATGGTTCATTTTGGAACCACGGCAACAGGTGCCTTATGACAAGAAGCTACATCCGTGTTGATACATATGTACTTATGCTATTATAGATACTGATTATATTTTAGAAAGGAAGAAAAATTTAAAAAAAATAGAAAAAAAAAAAAAAAATAAATAAAAAATAAAAAAATTAAATGAACGATAGACGTATGCATTACAGGTAATCAAACTTCAGGATGTGCGTTTGCAAATCATTTCCGTAGTGAAGCCTGCGTCGTTCAGACAAATTGTTTCTGATCTATTGAAAGCATTGTAACTTAATTAAACAAATTGCGTCATGCTTGCCTTAAATCTAAGGTGTATAGACAATATTGACAATGTTTAATTTGCCCTATATGTCGTGATAAACAATTCTTAGGTCTTTAAAGGATCTTGAACACACACATCCCCGTTTATAACATTTGTTCGTTAACTTGTCGTCCTTGAAACAGTCACATTGTCACATGGTCAGTGCCAACGCAATTTGGCAAAGTCCTTTACATATATCGAAATAGCTTTTTACACTCACAATAAAATTTCACAGCATTGGAACTGTACATGTGGTTCCCTATTAGACGGGCTTTCCTGTCCCTTTGAACTTCAATACATCAGGTCAAGGCAGGATGAAGAACCTTTCGGATGAATTTTACATGTTGGTTTGGGGATAGAACTAATAACTTTGCTAACTTCAACGTAAAGCGACAATTAAGATTTTGTAACGGGCGACAACAGGACGAGTTATGTTTAAGACGTCTATGTCCTATAACCCACGATCACTCCCAGGGTATCTATCAACGTTTTTTTTATACAGGAGATATATCGTTATCTACCGTTAATTGTACATTATATGTGTATTAAGACAAAATTTGTTTTTTATGTTATATGAAAACAATATTACCGCATATAGTGACGTCATGATGTTGACGCCGTCAAGACATCAAGGTTAAACTAGTTTCTAATAGAAATATATCTTCCATTTCAGCATGGCGTCTGGCGTTCAAGTCGGTCCACAACAAACCAAGCGGCCTCTACAAAGACCTCTTCTCTCTTTATGAAGCAGATGATACCCTGCACGCGGATGATCTTTCTGCAGTGAAAGACTTCAGCAAGAACAGCAAGCCATTTAAGTCATCACTGTTAGATGATTGGACAACGAAGAAAATAAGCGTCCAGGCGGTAAGTAATCATGTTTCCTTTTACAAATATAGATACCCCCTTTTTCAAAGAGTATTTGATATGACGTTTCAAGATAAATCATTTGAACAATTTTTAAGATATAATATGGTACATTTATAGCCTGCTGATGGAATTGAAGTCCCCGGGGTTTGCTGTAATCTTTTTGACACGTTTTAATTCATCCGCATAGTAGTACGGTTCAGAATATACACATGTACATAACACTGTTCTAAAATTATCTGATGTATGAAATGTACGAAATTTATTTAATTCTGGGCTGTTGCACCTTCCTGTCTATGTTTGACTTTTCTATTGATCACTTTGGATTTTCCTTAGTTGCCATCTAGGCTTCAAAATATAGGCCCTTAGCATCACTGATGAGTCCAAGAAGGACAAAACAGCTCTCTGATGCTGTTTAATTCATTGTTTGACTCTACTCTATCTTACTTTAAATTATGAAAAGGTGTTATTCAGTTGTGTGTCTTTTGCTCAACCATTTATATGTGGACACCCCCATATTACCCACCGCAAACCCCCCAAAAAGCGAAACAAGCATGCAAGAAAGTTCTTATACAGACGAGAGGAAAGGTTAAACGTTAAAGATACATAGAGAACAAGACTTGACTTGATATACAGGAGAGTAAATTTATTCTGATTCACTGTCGTAACCTGCCTTGTAAATCTTTTAATATCCTAGTAGGAAATATCACAACGAAACCATCAGGTATTATACACAGACATACCTTCGCATTGAAAGGGGAAATAATGTATTTTCCTAATCTGATCATAATGACGACAACAAATTTCCCGTCTTTTTCAAATCTAATCTCTTTTGCTTAGCCTTAGTTTAAGTGTTTCCTGACGGCTGTCGATATCTATTGAGAAAATCGTAATATTCGGAACAAACCCTTGAATGTTGTACTATCCAAACGGCAATTTATAAAAAAATCAACTCGTGTAATAAGAAATTAGTACTGATATTGATGTCAGTCAAGACTATATACAGGCAATTCGTTAGTGGTACGTGTACACTGGCAACAAGGAACTCTTCCACTTTTCTAATGTAGTAAGATGATTTGAATAAACAGAATGTCTTATTAGAGCATTTCAATATATTCTGTAAGACAAATATGCCCTATTCCGGTGTCCATATAGTATGGCAGTTCTAAATTTAGAAACATGGAGTTCATATGATCTGATTTATCTAATTGTCTTACTTGCACGCAACGAACTCATATCCAATTAGAACTACGAGTCATCTTAACATAAGTTGTTATCTTATATAAACCAAACTTTGAAAATAATGCAACAACGAAATATTCAAGTGATCAGCGATCGAGTATGTATTAGACCGAAACACATTAAATACCGCTGACGCATGTTATCCGGGAAAATAAGTGAAACTGGTTCCAAAGACATAATATTTGCATTAATTGAAAAAGAGCCAGGACATCGTTAATTTAAATAATCTGATGCAATGTTCATATAAGGTAAAAAGAATGTTTAGTTTGCATTGCGGTTGTTACATCGAAGTTCGAAAACATGGTTTAAAGCCAACGAAAATTGTCATTGGATTTACAGATCATTTTGTGTTCATAAAGATAGTAAGCAACATCATGTTTACTTGACCACAGCATTTGTGACGAAATACGGATTCAGGAAGAGTACGGTCGCCATATTGAAAGTTGGGAAGTGTTCTTAGAATGGTATTGATGTTCTTTACTTGTTCTGTTGTTATAAACTCAATTGATACTGTGTATCGTGACTTTCTTAGTATAGATCATGATGTTTTGCTGTCTATCAAAGTGATTACGCCTGTCTTTGTAAGAGATCATTTTTGTCAATTTCTTGCCTTTGTTTTATCGATTTTGAGATAGATTTACAATTTCGTTGATATGCTGGTATTTTCTTGTCCCAACGTCCGGTAAAACATGGTAAGTATTTGCAGTCTTGTTTTCATTCTCAACTGCATATAAGAGCTGTGGACATACATTCTAATGTCTCTGTATAGATGTAAAGTAGGTCTAGTGTAGCGGTAGTTTTTAGTGGGTGATATGTCTTTGTGTTAGAGCCTCCGCCGCTACAAAACACCTATATATATTGCGCTACATGGTATACGGAAACCTAGTTTGAACATTGATTTCCTGTTCGCGCTGACGAACATCCAGTTAACTCGTAAGAAAGAAAAACATAAACAGTTGTACTACATAAACATTTATTCGACAAATCGAAATTGTAGATTTGTAGACCCATGTCGTTCCTGGAAAGACAAATAAATACAACTTTACCGACTGTCCACACATGTCCTTAAAAACTAAACTGTTCCCTGGAAAGATCTGTTTTGCTTTTTGACGGTATCATTTTGGCCTCCTTCCGTTCCACTGCTGAAGAACTTTAACCACCGTAAACTATTTGAGGGATCCTGTCATATCAGAACACACACCGAACACCAGATCGGAACCGACAATACATGAAGTACTGCAAAGTAATAAATTTCATTAAAAAATAATGATTTTCAATATTGGATAATTTCAAATGAACATCAACAATATCTTATGAATATTCATATTGATGAGAACGTTAAATACATGTTTGGATTTGGTTTAAATTGAACTTCCATGAGATCAACAAACGAGATATGTTTCATTTGACTATAAAACGTAATTAGTTTACATTTATGAATAACTGTTGAAGTAAACACCAATAGCCCGCGACAAGAATTAAATAACAAATACCGACAAATAAAAATGTCCTTGTTTCTTTGATACTTCGATATAATGAAAAATTCGTATTCCAAATAGTTTATTGATTATAAATGCAATCTAAAATAGGTTAATTAAATCCATGTATTATTCCACGCACTGTCCTTCCAAAGGATTTTCAATGAGTGTTGGGCCAATAAGGAATCTCCATATCTCATCGATATGGTTTAAGATACTATTTATGTTTTTCTGAAAAATTGATTGTCATATAAGATTGACTATTCGGATCACATGGCATCAAATCACGTCACAATAGTCTATATTACTGATATGGCTGTAAGACATGACACAACAGCCGAATTATGTGATGAAAATAAATTGTACTTGCATGCATTTTACGTATTTTCCACTTTTCCAATTGCACTTTAACCATATACATTACCCACTAAAACATATCAAACAAATACCTAAAATCAATGCAGAATTTAAGTAATGTTAATATATATTTTCACTAGATTGGTTGTTAAAAATAATGAGTTATATTTAAATGATTTAGGTAATAAAAGTGTGGTGTAGTAGTCATGTTATGTTTGCCAGCATTTTTGATGTTTTGTTTGTTTTAATTTCGTTTTTTGTTTTTTTTTTTCGGTTTAGGTTTGGGTTTTTTTTTTGTAGTTTTTCGGTATTTATCAAACACTCATTTCAGCTCTCTACTGAGCATTTGTCAGATCACCTTAGTTTAGCGTCCTGGACAATTGGAACATCTAGGACTCTTTGTGATGTACTGTTATTGACCCAGTCCTATTCTAGTGAATTGTCTGAAGATGAATATTCTCAGGGAGAACACCCAAGCCGTAAATACATATAAATCTACGGTAATCGGTAAGGGTTATTACACTAATGTCTGTATCAGGAATTCAATAGATTTCAGAACATACTTAAGTGTACTCAAGCACCACCAAACACTGGTTATTAATGTGAAAATGTCGACCGAACATCTTTCTACATCAGCCGTTTACCACGATTATTTCCTCGGACGGAATCGAAGGGACATTTTGTTAATACAAAACTGTATGATAGGAACAAACAACAAGAAAGCCTGTCAGATAAGTCATAATTCAAGCTCAATCATAATAAGATAGGAGGAAATATAGGCAAAAGAAATATTAACATGGTGTCTGTAGACTCCTGATACAGTACAAAGAGAATAAGACCATATGATCCGGAAGAGTACTCGTCTTCTGCTTCGTCGATGGCATCTGCCACATATACATAAGTCAATCCAAGTAGATAATGTCACGATATCAAATGAAAACAAGGAATACAACAACAGAGCCAACAGACAAACTAACAAGTATCAAACACGTCCACGTTTATATTTCACAAAGAAATAGATTGTTTGTCGACGAGATCACTACGATGACCGAAATACCCATAATTTTCATCTATTTTCATCTTTTAAGTCCTGTATTGGTCAATTTGTCAGTCAGTTGACGACTTCTTGCACGAAAAAAAATGTGATAATTAGAACAGGCCCTTGGATATCGAATCAAATGCGACATATAAACACCATGTCCTTGTAGATCTTTCATATTTTCATATTTCCCCCTAGCTTTAATGCATATGAGTTTTGATTACGATTCTCTTGAAATGTTAGTACATTCTCAATGTCTTTGTAAATTGCCACGCACGATGTTCATGTTTTAATGTTTACAAAGTGAAAAACGGTGTCAGTAAAGTTTATGACGGTCTGGATTGTTGTGGTCAACAAAGTGTTTGTAAAGTATTTTGCAATATTGTGCTGTGACATAAGGAGCCTGATGCTTCTAAGAATAATATGTTTCTTTGAAAACATGTTTGTATCATCACACTGAATTATCTTTTTCGTCTAAACCTGCACTGTACACGAGGAAATGAATGTGTAACATGCATGTGGAGAACATCTTATAGGACAAATGTTCTTATACATTTAGATATAAGTATCCAAAAAACGGTAGGGTAAACTCAATCAATGTATTAAAAATTATGGAACGAATTGCTTTAAAATCATGATTTATTGTAGGATAACTAAATGATAACAATTTCCATTACAACATGTCAAATTACATCATAGCACATAACCCTAATACAGATATCTCATGATTTGTATGCTTAAAGCATATTGTGCAGTCTGTGTGTCCCTGATCTGTGACGTCATAAGAACATCTGGATTGCATCCCCTATACATAATTTTTTCTGTAAAGCTTGATGGATATTGCCTCTGGATTTCTCAAAGTTCACAATGATGTCATGCATACT